AGGTGGAAAAGGAAGATAATATTTTAGTAAAGAGCCTAAGAAAAGACCGGGCTTTGGAATATTTGGCAGAAGAGGAAAAGGCGGTTCTAGAGGCGTCCAGAAGGGAATGCAAAGGAAAGGAAAACGAGGAGGAGAAAGACGTGAAAGGAGGAGAGAATAAAATGGAGATGGAAGAGAGGAAGAAAAGGGGAAGAGAAGTGGAAGAGGAGGAAGAACATCAGGAGGGGAGAGGCAGGAAGGAGAAAAGAAGGGAAGAGAAAGAGTCAGGAAATGACGTATCAGACATGGAAGATAGAGAGACCAATGAGATAACGCCGACTGGGGATTTTAAGGATGACGCGAAGCAGGGATTGGCAAGCGTGGCGACGGTGGCGCCAACGAAGGAGATACGGAGGCCTGGGGAAGTGAATGGTGAAGGAGAAAGAATCGGCCATTCTTTTAGCAAGCGTAGAGAAGTAAGTATTGTAGAAGTGAACAAGGAGAGTTTTGAGATTATCGGGGAGGAAGGAAAGGACGATAGTGAAGGTAAAGAGAACAATTATAATGTAGAAATAGACATTAACAAAAATAGGATAATAGAAAGTAGAAATAAGACGATAGAAAATAAGAATGGGGAAAGCGTGATCGAAGCAACACGTGGTGACGGTGAAAATTATACGCAGCACGTGGCCCCTAGAGAGGGAAACATTAGGAATAAAAGAGAAAGAACAGTTGATTTGTACGAGGAAGGACTTGTAAGAGAGAAATATGTGGTGTGCTGTGTCCTTAACATGACAACGACAAAAAGAAAGGGAGGAAGCGAACCACCTATTGAAGAAATATAACAACAGAGAGGGTCAACTGTCCGTGTACTTGCCGAGGAGGATGAAATACAGACGTGGGATTATTTTTGAGTGGGAAGACTCGATCAAGGAGCTGGAAGAGGAGGCAATGCCTGGCCAAGGAGAATCTGTTCTAGAGAGGATGAAGAGGAAAAGAATAGTGGACGGAAAAGTAGTGTATGAACCTTTACGGTCAATTATGATTACATTTAAAGGTAACGTGTTACCCACTAGACTACTGATAGATCAAGGCCATGTTGGCATTAAAATTGAGCCATTCGTAGAACCTGTTAAGCAGTGTTTTAGATGTTTTAAATTTGGACACCTTCAGGCGATGTGCAAAGAACGAATTAAAAAGTGCTTAGTGTGTGGGGAAGCGGAACATGGTAGGTGCGAGAAAAGTCCAAAATGTGTTAACTGCGGAGGGAGCCACGCTGGCAAGAGTATGTTGGTTGTGGCAGAAGGAAGCAGCGATTCGGAAAGTCATGGCTTTCCGAAACGCGCAATTCGAAACGGCGAGGGGGATCGTATCCAGGAATATGGGAGAAATAGAAACGGACAGGGTAGGAGGACTGGACGATATAAGGGAAGAAGGAAGTAGGGACTTTCCCAGGCTACCGAGGAAAGAAAGAAGGGAAGTATGGGACAATAAAGAGGTCCCGATTGGGAGAGAGTTGGAGAGGATAAGGATTGGGAAGGAAGAGACGGACAAAAACAGGAAGGGATCGAAAAGTCATGTAACATACAGTGGGGCTGTGAGAAGAGGAAAAGGCGAAGAAAGTGACATAGGGGAATCGGATAGAAGAGACACTGAAGAGGAGGAAGGGATTGAAGGGACATCGGGATGGTCTAAACAGAAAAGGAAGTATAAAGGACTGAAACCGAGTTGCTTTAATAACAAGACTGATTTATTCTTGTCAAATAATAAATATATATGTCTAGAATGTAAGGAGAAGACAGAAAAGCAGAAACGGACGGAGGAGGAAGGGATTGAGATCTTGACAAGTATCCCACTTCCGCATGATATGGTAGGTGAACAGCCTGAGGGAGAATGCGAATACGAAAAACTGAGATTCGCATTAAACAAGGATGAAATGGAAAAGGAGCGAAGAATGGCAAGAAAGGAAAAACAATTGAATAGAGAGTGGTTGATAGAATTGAGGAAAAGGACTGATGACGAAATCATCGATGAGATGATAAAAGTACTCCAAGAAAAGCATATAGAAGGAAAGTTCCACGAAGTGATTAGGACAAGAAAGTACAAGGCTAAACGGACAGTCCACCTCGACCCGAACGAAGATTGGAATAAGGTCACC